ACAAAAAGACACATTGTAAATATATTTAGATAGGCAATATTGTGAAACTAACTTTATATAGCTGAAAATTGTTCTATATATAGCTGTAACATTTAAACATACATAAGGACATATTGTAAATAATAGAAAGGCCAATTGTAAAATTAATTTAGGGTGGTACACTTGTATGGGTGGTATTACTGATTACCTACCTGTATGATGTACCTGATTAGTATAAGTAGCTTTAGTTTTGAGTAGTTATTAGTTTTACCTTCCTCTTGAAGATGATCACTTGGTGATCGAAACACGTGTCGATGTGTAAAAATAACGATTTGGTGTTGGGAAAAAACTCCAGTAATATTCATTACTACATCAAAGGTTCCAAACAGTATATCACAAGATTTTTTGAACATCATGTAAATCAAATTAATATTTTCGAAGGTTGATAATGGTCTAACAAACCGAAATTGGTCGTAACAAATGAATATTGCAGTAGAAATCAGACAGAAGCTATTTTCTTTATTCTATATTGAAGATATTACAGATTTGAAATGCAGAAACATAGCGGTTGCGGCAGTACCGGCTGGGGCGCCGGTGGCGCGTGCCTATAAATAGCATGTCGATGATAAGCGTTCCTATGTATATTTAGTATCAGCATGCACCCGTGTGTAGCCGGGGCGATTTGAAAGTATAAAATGAACCGTTACTCAACAATTTTTCTCTACTTCCAACCTTTCCTTATTTATTTGATTTTCCAGCGAGGGAACGGCTTTAACCTGAATCCGGAAAGTTTCATACATGTTCCGTCATATGTAAGAGGATTTTGCCATCAACGCTGACTTGATAATGACGTTCTCTAGATGGATCCGTCTAGTCGTTCAGACACTTGATGAATTCCTAATCCGAAGCAATTTATTTTCCAATGTCGACGCGAGTGGATCATTTATGTGCTCTGTTTTTCATCGCAAATAAACTTCTGTTAGGACGTATAGGTTGAATTGGATGAAAATTAAACAGGCTGTCACATTGATATGAATGATCTGATACATTGATGTTCTTTTTTATCAAGTTTATTTCGTCCATAAATATGATAATGCTTCTTCAATATTCACTGTATCAAAGAGATGAAATAAAAATGGATTTTTGGAATATGCCATGGTTATAAGTAAGTGAGTGAATGAATATGGTTTTTTCCATCTCCTGAAAATGCCAATGTAATAACTGCCATTGCCATGGTTACCGTAAAATATTATTCCATTCATAGAGATCGAGGTCGATCACCCGTTTCTTCGGTATCGATATTTTTCCAGTTGAAAAAGCGCTGAATTACTTTATGACTGTCGGAGTTTTGAGCGTCGTTGCGGTCATGTACAAGTTGAGCTAGACTAAACAAATAAATATATCACATCCTACTGATGACCATATGGCTGGGAAGGAAAAAAACGCTGACATGAGGTTTTTGTGGCTAGCGATGGGCGTGGGAGTTTCTGCAGACACAGAAAAAGTCGGTCACCGGATCTCGTCGCGTCGAGACGAGATCGGGGGTCTCATCCCTCAGCCTTCGAGGCTGAGGAAAGTGGCCTAAATAGGGGAGTTATTTTGTTTGAGCGTGTGGTGCGAAATTTAAGAAAAATCGGTGTAGTGAAATCGTAAGCCGGTATTGGGTACATGACAGTTTGAAATTAAAGTGGTGTTGTTCAAGACACACCGGGCCAACGGAACCTATGGTTGACTATGAAACACCCAAAGAGTCAAAAATCGGTTTGCAAAACCACTCACTGCCTCACCTAACCCCACGAACACACGGCACTGATAAAGAAATATTGTGAAACGGACAAAAAATTAGTATTCAGCCAATCCAGCTAGCCGAGCCTTCATTATTCAACTACATTTGATAGCACGTTTACTAACTATCTGGGCGAGTAGGGGCAAGAAATTTTATGTTTATGACTGTACTCTTATTTTTATTGCCGTTCCAATTGGGAGTGGATAGACTATATACCAAATGATCAGATTCCAAAGAGACCGGCCTTCATGCGATCGGCACGAACCCTACAGCCTTTTCGGAATTGCCTAACTTCTAAATTTTGATGTGGAGAAATCTGCATCTGGTGACAGCAGTTGCCAAAATTGATTTGAAAAGAAAAAAATATTCAGAGAGGAGTATTTTATGACACCAACTTGTT